ATGATAACTCCGCATGTAACCCCTCCAATCAAGATGTGCACAATCTAGTGCGAAGGTTAAAGAAGCAAGGGAGCACTGCCACCACCAGCACGAAACGGCTGAAGAAGTGGATGATGGAATTCTCGGAGGAGCCTGGAGACGTTGGTCGCATATTTGTGGACTCAGTGAATGATAAGGTATGAAAAGGTGTTGCTGTTTATACATCTGATAACTTTAACTGTGTTTCATATTTTAGAGGATCGCCACGTGTATCACATTGCAGACCAAACATATGCGTGAGTTGTTTGACCGGTTTCCTGAGGTGCTAATGATTGATGCAACGCATGGCACGAATGTCTCCAAATACAAGGTGTTTTCGATTATGGCCCAAGATGTTTTCGGAAAGGGGCAGTTTGTACAGCATGCAGTCGTCCAGAATGAGCGTCGTCCTACACCCTTGACTGCGTTGGATGAGTTCAAGAAGAACAACCCAGCCTAGTCACGGACTAAGTGCATTTTGATTGACAAAGATTTTACTGAGATGTCCGTCCTCAACGTCGTGTTTCCGGATGTCGTGGTGCTTCTGTGCCAGTTTCATGTACTCAAATATTTGCGTGAGGAGATATCGAGCGCAGAGTATGGTTTTACTTCGTGGCAAAAACAACAGCTGCATGGAATCATGAGCTTGTTGGTGTACGCGAGGACAGAGCACGAGTTCACGAAGTATCGAAACTATATGCGGCACGTTATGAGCATTGGACGTGGTGGTGTGTCTCGTTCTTCTGGAGCTGGCCCCAATTGGGGTCATTTGGTCACTGAGAGCAGCGAGTTGGTTACTGAGAGCAGCGAGTTGGGCACTGAGATTAGCGAGTTGGGCACAGCTGGGAACAGTTTGGGTGTTCGTACTGGGTTGGGCATGGATAGTGAATTGCGCGGAGTGGAATGTGGAGACAGAGATGACGACTTGTCCAAACACCCATTTGAAATTTACTTCGCCAAGAATTGGGACACTTGCAGGTCAATGTGGTGTTTTTTTGAACGCCAAAATGCGGTCACAATGGGGAACAACACGAACAATAGACTGGAGGCTTCGTGGAAGCAATTAAAAGACCTCGTGGACTCGTTTATGGGTGTAGATGAGTGCATCGCTTCCATTATGTGCTACCAGTCTCAACAGGAAAAGAAATTCGTTGACGACGTGTACAAGTTGAGTGTGGTGCATAACATCAAGTATGACGCTGAAATGCAGTTCGTTTCGAATTTAGTGAGCGAGCATGCGTGCGAGCTTATTTATGAGCAGTACATATATGCAACTACGAAGGGCAAGTACAAGTACTATGAGCCAGTCCCTGACGTGTACTTGCTGCAGCATGACTGTGACGACGAAGACGCTCTGGATGAACCCAACAGTGAATACTCCATCACGAAGCGCGACTGGTCATGTTCGTGCCTTTTCATGTGCTCTCGGCTCTTGCCGTGCCGGCATATATTTTTTCTTCGCAAAGTACTCGGGTGCGAAAATATTATTCCCACTCAACAGCTGAACCCTAGATGGCTGCTGGCATCGCTACGGATGACCACCGATTTTCCCGAGTTTTGTGGCGAATCTTTTGCCGTGTTTCGGGTCATGCAAGAGCCCAATACTGTCTGGGATTCAAATCGCAAATTTCGTGAAGCAAACTCTGTTGCATCGACAATCACTGAGCATCTGAGTGGTCTGGGGATGAGAGAGTACCAGACAGCAATGAAAGTTCTTCGCGAGGTCGCGACCCTTTTCAAACATGGTGAGTACAATGCAATTGCTTCGCACCAGTCAGTTCCTAGTGGTACGGCCTGTACAGACAGCGAAGCTATTCACGAATCTCCAGACGGTGGCTTAATAACGAGTCTAACGGCAGACGATTCTCGATCGAATTCGTGTATTGATGCTGGTCCTTTGAGATTTCTCCGGCAAATGCTACTGTTGATTCAACTGGTGACGAAGTGGACACGACACAGGTTGGTATCCAATTGGCAACAAATTTGGGCTCTGGAACGCCCCAGTTGGGCTCTGGAACGCCCCAGTTGGGCTCTGGAACGGATCAGTTGGGCTCTGGAGCGCCCCAGTTGGGCTCTGGAACGGATCAGTTGGGTGCTGGAACAGACCGGATCGGAATGAGTTGCGATCGGTTGACAACTCAAACCGACCAGGTTCAAGAGTCCACCCAGGTTGGTACGCCTTTTGAGGCCAACACAGCTCAAGGACGATCTGTCAATCTAGAAGATTCTAACGATTCCTTTGAGATCCAAAGTCCACCTAAACCAAGATGGTGGCCGAAACAAAAGCCCAAAGCTGTCAAGGCTAAACGAAACCTGGCAATCACGATGGTCCAAGAAGATTTGGATATGCACGAGAACAAACTCCATCTCCTAGCGCTGTATGAAATTCTCGATGGAGCTCCAACCTACAATTCTTCGCATAAAAAGTTGACCCAATTCAGCCTCTTCAAATTCCTAACAAAGCCCAAACCACCCATCGCTTACGAAATTGCAAAGTTGCCTGCAAGCAAACCGCTGATGAGACCTGAGGACATAAGCAGAGTGTTCTCAATGGATTTGATTAAGAAGTGTATGGCCAAGGTGAGTGCCTACCAGAAGAAACACGCTGGAGTACGAGAACTCGATATTCCGCTTGAGATTGTTGGGCTAGGTGTCTTTGCAAACTCGACAATCGCCCTCATGAAAAAATGGCACCGTGCCCACGAAACGTTGAAGAAGATCGACAGCACGATGAATTGGTTGAAGCAGCTAGACTTCTCGCGTTTAAACGCTTCAACATATTCGATAGAAGATGATCCTGAACTACCGGAAAAACGCAAGGCTATTCCTCTCTTTTCAGCGCAGGTACGTATCAATCGTCTTACTATATTTTTGAAAATGAATAATACTAATGCTTGTTATTTTGGCTTAATAGGCACAAGTGCTGGACCTTACTGCGAAAGAGTGTTTATCCTACGAAATAATGCACTTGGTGTTTTCCAAGAGGTTCGGCCTCAATCGCAACGTGACTATATTCGACTCGGAAACCCTGGGGGTCGTAGTGGACGGAAAAATCTTGGCGGACCACGAAACTATACGCAGAAATCTGGCAGGCGTTTCGAAGGAGGTTATTTTGTTCCCTGTGAATTCCAACGGGAACCATTGGTGCTCTGTGATGATGAACCTCGAGAAAGGGAGTGTAGCTATCTACGACTCTAGTTCATCTTCCTATTTGATTAGTGTTCGTGCCGTGGCCCAGACACTGATCATGCTATTACCACAGTTAGCAAGACCGCGGCCACGAGTACACACGTACGAGTCCGGACTTGGCGTTCAAGTGGACAGCTACAACTGCGGTGTTTACGTCCTACTGGCGTTTGAAGTGTTCTGTGGAGGACTTGGTCACCTAGACAAAAAATCTTTACAGTGTTTGAGATACAGATACTTGCACATGTGCATGCAAGCTTGAGCAAGGAAAATAGACTTAGTTTAAGCGTAATACATTTTGTTCTGGTCGTTATGATAATTGTGGTGTTAAATTAAGAAAACAGTGAAGGACACATCCGGCGACAATTAAATCTCGACAAGTGATCCTTGCGACTCTAGTACATGTATGGGCGAGCTCTGTGTCTCCCAACGCTAAGTCTCACCACAGACCCGTCTAAGTACGGCACCGCTCTATCCGGGTATACGATGAGGGTGTATAGCGTCCTAACTGGCTTTAATGATCTGGGGAGCTGTTTGTGTTCCTGATGGGCACGCTTGGGCTTCTGGTGGGCGTGATTGGGCGCAGGAGTCTCGTCTCAGGATTCTCATCTGGGCGCAGGAACACGTGCCATTTTTAAGTTACTCCACAGATTTATGTCGCTCACTGATAATAGTGTTTTGGTGAAAAGCTAATGTAAAAAATGATGCTCGTTTTTCATTTTGATGTCCGGCACAAGCGGCTCCGTTTGATTATACTCTGGTACATTGTCAAAAACGATGACAATGTACTTGTCCACGTACTCATTCTTGTACCTGTCCAAATATTTGATAGTCTCGTACAGCGCTTACGAAGTCTTTGTTAGTTTGCATCTTTATGCTACCGCAGTGAATGCGGTACGCAGCCACACCATACGAGGACGAGACCGCGTATTATATCTGAAGGTTCGCCCCCTTCGATGGCGGTAGCTACTCGATGGCGCGTTTCCCTTTTTCATTCTGCCACGTGTACGCTTGGTGTACAGGTTAAAGTTGGTTTCGCCGAAGTACACGATGAGATCATCTTTGTTGAGGCTAGAGGTACACTGCCGGCGCGGGCGATATTCTCGACCGTCTGCCTGTGAATCGTGGACGTAATCGGGACTGGGCGACCAAAGCCCCGTAGCTGGGTATTTAAAAGCTGTTATAGTATCACCAACGAAGTATTATAACATAATTGTTATATTTTATTCGCGAGCGCTTAGTATCTGGTTGATATTATGAATGTGATCAATGAGCTGCACCAAGACGTTGTTGGCCCGAAGGCGAATGTTGTCTGCTCACCGCAATACCGATGCTTTCGTGGTTATGAACGATACTAACAAAATCAACAAGTTATGTTTGTGGCAATGCTTGTTACTGGAAGGTAATTCGGAATTATACAGATACATGTACCTATTTGGGAAAGTCTGTACCAGCCCCGCGCCTTCCTCGCGGACCACACACTGATATGGCTTCTCTCATTCATGTCCATTATCATGTTTTGCGTAACCAGTAGATTATCAAAACTCTTTAACAAAAACCAGGTGCAGGGCGTCTTCAAGTGACGCGGCAATGTGTCCATCCTCTCTTGGATATTGTGCTCCTCGTTCGGGCCTAGTTTCTTGCGAATGGCTTGATCCGTTCATAAGTGCCTAACATCTACAGTTTCCTGCCAAACAGAGATTTTTGTTGTTGCAGTGAAAGCTATAGCGCACCTCCTTTCTTTAGCAAGTTCTCTCCACTGAATCGTAGTTACTTCAAGTATTACGCAAGGTTTATCATACAGTCTTCATCTTTCTGCCTTGCAGTGTGAAGGCTGCTTCTTTGGGTGAGTGAGGAAATAGAAACTTTAGCACGTTGACACTGAGGATTAATTCCTGAATCGTCGGGAAGGTCACGCCGTTGTTGGCAGCACCAGAATTATCATCTTCAAGTGCAACAAACCACCCGCCACGTTCTGGCAGCCACGTTATCGGCACAAACTGCACGTACTGGTCGTCGCGTACGTACGCAATCACAAGACAGCGTACACGAGTCTCGCTGAAGCGCAACAGAAAAGTGCCCGGTGGTGCACGCTCCAGCATACTAACACACGCGCCTTTGGACAGAAATCCATGAAGCAGACGTGGCTCCGTATGCGGCCACAGAGTGGAGTACAAGATACAGTCGACAAGCGGTCGAAACCACGCCCAGAAGGCCGAAAACATACGAAGACTCACCGCTCCACCGCGTTGAGCCGGGGCAGCGCAGTCACGACCCCAGACAAGTGAACTTTTGCTAAGAAAATCGATACTGCGCGAGGATAATGGTCGCTTGGCCGCATCTGCTTTGAGCTTGGTGGCGAAGAAACAGCTCACTTGCGGTGCGATCCAGTCCATCGGAGCTTCCTTCAGTTCCTGTAATTGACGTACCGCCGCAGCCGAATAGCCGTCTTTCAAGCCGCCTCCAGGGTTTCGACAATCAGGAAGAGAAGCGTTGAGAACCACAGCTCGTGCCCATACTAAACTGCCTCCTTCACTCTGAATAATCGGCCTCACGTGGTCTGCCACCTTGAGGAGACAGAGTTGTTGAAGCGACGTTGTTGGCGATGCAATGGACCCAGTTAAGCTCGGCTCGCTTCTGGTCGAGACCAGTGGGTGCGTTTCCAATGGCGGAGAGTCTGTCCCTTGTCCATCACTGCTTCCACTGGATAATAGAGAGGATTTGGCTGTGAAGACATCAGACCGAGAAGCCACGGGCTTCATCCGACGTATTTGTGTCTCCTGGGCCCTCGGTCGATGTTGGTATTCCACCTCCTCTAGAATACACGGAGCATGACTATGTTTGTAATATTTATGAGGATTTGAGGAGCATCCATCCATCGACGTCGCCTTCACTAGACGCAGCGTTTCCTGCTCATTTCGTTGATGTGATTCCAGTCCACAATCCGGACGTGTGGCGTCGATTTTGCCCATACAAAGTCCAGTGTTCACGGACGGGATGATGTAGCTTAGAAACTCTCGTTGGTCCAGCTCCATATCTTTCTTCTCCAGGAACTGTGAGACCGCACAGATCGTCCGTGGATGCCCTCGTAGGCTCTTGATGATTGGGTGTTCGCCAAACGCCTCCAAGTCGGCACTTCCGCCCATTTCATGCGCCTTAATCTTCCGAGGCGCACGAAAAGTGAACAGCAGCGCCGCGTCAGCAGCAGGAAGCGGACCCACAGAGATTATCTTCTCTCCGACGCCGTCCAAGGCACCGAATTTGCCATCACCCGTCAACAGCAAGGCCAGGGAATTCACACGCCGCAATAGCATCGCGACGATCGTATAAAATCTGGGAGTCTGTCGTTGCGCGCGATTGCAGCCGTCCAAAATCAGTAGAAAACTGTTGCCATCTCCCTGACTTTCTACTTCACAGCGTTGGCGTGCTTGTTCCGCCAGTTCATCGAGTGTTGTTGCTTGAAGACCCAAACACTTGGCAAACCTAATTATTAATTCTGACGGCTCCAGCTCAGACATGTCATCTTCCCTTTCATTGCCCGCACTCAAGCGTAAGTAAAATATGTGACGAAAGATTCGACGTTCCGTGGCATACTGCGCACATTGCAGGGCCACTTCAGTCTTGCCGATGCCTCGTTCCCCCGTAATACTCACCAGTCTGGCGCCTTCCACGAGGGATTTATACACTTGATGCACCTCCAGCGACCGCCCGACGAACACCTCGGCCACAGTATCACACTCGTTTACAGTACCGCTTCCTCTTCTTCCGCCCATTTCAGTTTCAACACAATCCCCCACCGCTACATCTCGAAACAGGGCGTCGTTATGGTCGCCATCTCCTAATAATATAAACTCTGACGGTCTCCCTGTACTTGCGTTACTGGCGACGGCAATATCCGCTTGCACACGTCCAATCTGGAAGCTTTTTGCCACTGAATGGCCTACAAATAGCGCCGTATAAAAGGCTTTGGCGAACTCCATGGCTTTACGGTCCAACACTTTTTCCTCCTTGGAAACCACAACGACGTGGGGAACTCCGGCGCTTACGAAGGCCTGAGCTACACTCTCGGAGTGACATGCACTCACGAACACTAATTGTAACGGAGTTTTAGGTTTTGCATGCACTGGAGGAGGCGATAGGGCCACCCAGCCTCTCTCCACCCTGTGACTTCGGATTGCAAGCCCCGACGTGGCGTCGTCACTGCTGCTGTATGAGCTGGAGTTCTCACTGCTGCTGTCGCTGGATTCTGAGCTCTTCTGGCGTCGGTTTTGACGATTACGGATCTTTTTGTCGCGCTTGTGTCTTGGCCGGCGGCTCTCGGCGCCTCCAGCTAGAAGCAGGTCCTGTAGTTCTTGTTGGGAGACGAACTGCGCTTCACCCTTGCGCGTCTCGAAGATCACTTGACCAGGGACGCCATGCCCCGAGAAGTGCAGTGCACGACAGCCGAACGACAAAACTTTGCGGAAAGCGTGAAGGTCGGCGACTTCCGAGTGCCACGCCAGCTTTCGGCCAGATTCTCGGAGAGTCTCGAGCAGCAGACGGCGTTCTGCCTTCACGTCGATGAGCTCTACGGCCTCGAGGCCGCTGGATGAGCCGTTGATGTCTGCATGTGGGCTTAAGCTGCGCCAATTGGCCCCTGAGCGGCGCCGTACGACCAGGGGCGATGCGCGAAGATTGGCAGCGGCATTTTCCTTTAGTGTAAGGTCTGTATGTTTTAATTTTCGGATCTCATAGTTAATAATTTCAGATTCGAGCGTCGAGATTCAAAAATTTACTGCATTTCAGTACATCTTCACGAGCAGTGCTCTAGAGCATATTTTGCTATGAAAGCTTCTTGGTATCGCTTCGCAATAGGGGATTGCCCACTCCTTGTTCAACACTATTAAAAGCTAAAAGCTAAATCGATATGTGGTGCAAAATGCATTGCTAAAAAAATACCATCTAAAATTTGGACTACTACATGTAGCATAATACCAGCTGAATCCAAGTAAATATTTAGATTTTTTTAGGGCTAATAGGGGTAGGGCAAATTAAAATGAATTTTAAAAGCTGCAAAAAATGATTTTTTGCTCCATCTCATTCAATATGAAACGAAAAATTACGCTAACACGAAAATAATTAGTGCTTCTAATACTTGGCCATCACAAAGTGAGCAGGCTCTTTCTAGCAGTCATTAAGGCTACCCAAAGTAGCTTCCTCGAGACCATCGCTGTTTCATGTGGGGTAAGTGACAAGCTTCTAGCATGCTACATGTACCACATGTACAGTAACACCTACCGGTACAGCGGTTTAAAATGTGTAACTTAGCTACCTACGGTCTACACTACAGTTACAGCGAGCCTCATGGAAAAGACCTAAGTTGAAGAGTGAAGGTAACTTTTGGCAAAGTGTCACACGCCGACACAATCAGCTTCTCACCCTGAGGAATCCTCAGGGTGAGGAGCTAATTGCAGTGAGGATCTTGCATGTGAGCTTTGGCCCTCAGCCTCCAAAGTTTGAGGCTAGCAATTTGCCTCATTTCGTGAAGCTTCAACATGACAAACGGACAAACATAAATTTACTCGCATGTCAGTGTCTCGCTGATCGCTTACATTGCAGCTGTCTTTAATACTGTAGCTGCTCTTCTTGTGTAAGCTGATTTATCAAGCAGAAACGCTCCTTAGCAATCCTCTTGTACGAGTCTCTTTAAATTAGAATCCCTTAATAAAGCGTTTTATTTTTAATGCCACAGGTTTCGCCACGACGAAAATTCATACCTGGCTATGCACGTCTGACTTGCGTTCACTATTCCCCTATCCGTCTGACGTTGCAAAAGCCAGCCGAGGTTATAATAGACACTGCGAGCAAACTGCACGACATAGAGAAAATCAAGGTCACGGCACGAAGAGCATTCCGACAAGCGCCTGCATCAAGCTCAGCTGAGTCGGCAACTCCATCGCATACTGAGCGCAAGTGCAATTCCTGTCGCAGAGTACCGACCGACCCTAGAAAACGTGAAAGTGGACACGATCAACGGCTTCCTTGATTGACTTCCCAATTAGACGCGTGACCCACAAGTGCCCATGACATCCATGGCGGTGGCCAAGGTGCCGATGCGGAGAGGCCAAACGCATTGGACGCGTTCGCGTCGTCTCGTGAGTAGCGCAAGCAACTCGAACGCTGTGGACCTGGAAAACTACCAAGGCACCATCTACTTCGCTGATATCGTAGTGGACGGCTCCAACTTCGTCGTGCAGGTGGACACAGGCTCATCGGACTTGTGGATCTCATGTTATTACCTCAGCGGCTCCACGTGCCAGTCCACATGTCCATCCGACGCTGAAACGATCTCCTACGGCTCTGGCGACGTCTGTGTAGAAGGCGAATCAGCCGATATCAAGTTTGGCAACGTCGCAGTGTCTAATTACAATGTGGGTGTGGCACAGGGCTCGACTGTGAACCCGAGCAGCTCCAGCTCACTGCTTGCAGGTGACGCACAGGGTCTCTTTGGCCTTGCCTACAGCTCACTGGCAACACTACCATCTCCTGGTGGACAGTTCATTGACTACGTCCAGAGCTTCTCTATGTATTTGACTCAAGAAGATAATTCAGCCGGCAGCTTCTTGTTGCTAAATGGTGTGGACGACGCGTTAATCTCCTCAAATGGCCTCACACCGTACACAGTCAAACTCAAGTCGGCAACGCCAACACACTGGACAATTGGCATGACGGCAATGCAGATTGGCAACAGCACAGCCGTGTTCCCTTGCTCTACAGCGAGTAGTGGCAGCTGCGACAGTATTGTGGACTCTGGGACGTCTCTATTGGCGATGCCCAGCTCGGTCTACTCGAGTTTTGTATCCACATATCTTTCAAGCTGCCAACGAGATCAATCCGGGTCGGAAATCTACATGTGCTCGAGTGACATCGAGTTGCCCCGATTGGCTCTAACATTCGGAGACGTGACGTTCTACTTGGAGAAGAACGACTATATTATCAACCTGGGAGGCAACATGGTCGTCGTGGAGTTACAGGCGACGTCAAGCGCTAGTGGCTCGTATGCCAACACGTGGATCATCGGCGAGACGTTCTTAAAAATATTCTACACGAGCTACAACGTCAACGAGTCTGTGACCTTCTACTGTGTTGAAAACAGTACATGTACCCCAGGTTCCCAAGCGGTATCTTTGCCCGCGTCTTCGGATTCGTCGGGTGACAACACTGGCGGCAACGGATTTGGAGGTGGCAGTGGCGGCATCTCGGGTATTACGTTCAACGACGACGACAAGAGCCACCTCACAACGATCCTGGCCATCGTATTGGGCGTTCTCGGCTTCTTCTTAATTATCGCAGTGGTAACTTCTCTCTTCCGCTGCATGTGTAGACGCAGAAGAGCGTCTCGACACGAGCAATCGCTGCAGCCAGTATTGGTCGTTCCTGGAGGCTACTACCAGCCACAACCTGCCATCCAGCCTTCCCAAGGATACTATGCCCAGCACTAATAGAAGGGTGCCAATTTTTGAAACTTATAAAGTATCTTATTACTAAAACAAGAAAACAAGAAGTCCTTTTATATCGATACAGATTCAAAAACATATTCTCGTTTCAAAATTTAGTCGCTGATTTGGAGGATATCAGATAGGCAAATGTCCAATAGGTAAGCTGTGAGTCCCCAGATCACGTGTGGCCCCCCAGTGAAGACTGGAGTGGCGTTGCTGTGGCGGATCCAGTTGTCCTGGTTCATCAAGTCACGCACTGGAACTGTGAAGAGAGACTCGACCTCGTCCTCGTTTATGGCTACAGTTCGGTCGCTCATCTCGCCGATAAATCCTACCACGGGCGTGACGGCAATGCCAGTGATTGAAGTGACACTGGACCAGTCACAGCGCAGCACACCGAGGACATCGACGCCCTCTGGCGCCAGTCCAACTTCTTCGTTCATCTCTCGCAGACACGTGCCTTCGATACACGAGTCATCGGGGTCGACCATACCGCCAGGGAAGCAGACTTCGCCCTTGTGTTTGCCAACCGTGAGCGATCGTAATGTGAAGAGTACGGATGGCTCGCCTTCGAATGTGCAAAGTGGGATCACCACAGCTGCACGTGCTGAATAGGCCTTGGTGATCTGTCGTGGCAATCGACTTAATCGCTTGCGGATACGCTCGAGATGACGCTTGCCGAATGCATTGGCAAGCGGTGTTTGTCTCAATGTGTTCATGTCGTGCTGTGCGAAGTCTGTGGAGAATAAAACAAGAAGAAGATCAGTTTGTTTCCGTTTAATTACAAGAAAATACACAAGATGCGTACCGTGATAAGGTTTGAGAACAGCTTCCAGTTCGTCCAGTTTGCCCTCGCTCAGCAGCTCAGCGCACAGCCATAACGTGTATTCGCGATCTTGATAGGCCGCTGCGAGGGCCGGCGCTGTGTAGTTGTTCACCAGGAAGCTGGCGTCCATACGGGGCTTCTCGAACTCGCGAGAGAAGGAGCTCGTGTCCTTGACTTCTTGCTCATGGAGATGGTGTTCCTCAACGTCCTCTCCCTCCATCGCCCCATGTTGACTGCTGCTGTGGTAGTACAGGTAGTGGTGGTGGCTTTCGTTCGCGAGCTTAGCCGCTGCAGCGCGGCGTAAAGGCAGCGTGTCGTTCTCGCTATCGAGAAGACGCGAGGCCGACCCAAACGCGCGACCCAGCGGCCGCAGTTTGGCGCGGCTTGAAGCCTCAAATAGTGTGCACCCAACTCGTCGCATGCTTTAGTTAGTCGCAGTGGTGTTTGGTGTTAGTTATGGCTTGGTCTTTGAGAAGCAAGTTGCCAAATGGGGTAATTCAGTGTGTCCAAAATAAGCAGCAATGACGTTTCGCTCGCTCGTTGCAGTCTGGTGGCGCTTGGGTGTCTGCTTGCGGAGGGGATTTGCGCTGCAGATTCGGATGGACACTTGGAGTCGTTGATTTCCGCTCCAATACGAACGTCTGCGGCGTCTTTGACGCTGATTCTTGGCACCAGGTGACTGCGACGAGTCAGAGTCCCGGTGGTCCTAAATTAGGTTCAAGGCAAATTTCCCTATGTATTCAGTATAAACGAGCTGAAAAGATAGCTTAATTTCCAGTTTGTAACACGCTCGAGACTTGAGATCAGGACTTCCAGCCTCAAATGACGTATGGAGCGACGTGATTGGCTGGGTGCCCCTTGACACCACGCCGTTCCAGATCGAGTTTCAGATTCCAGTTCCCTGGAACTTCCAGCTGCTTCGAGTGCTGTCGCTCAGCGCACACCATTGGTGTCACCATGTCTCATGCAGCATAGACGACGTGTTCGCTACGGTGCAAGGTTTCACCATTCGTGGCGTATGTGCTAGTTCTTGCTCATTTGGCACGATGAACATGTCGTCTTCTATTAATAGCTGGAATGGTTGGAGCTTAATCTTAGCATTTCAAACATCTTCAATACTTTCGAGGTTATTATCGAAAGCTGTTGGGCGTAGTTTTTGATTTGACTCGCCTTCTTGTATTATAGTACATGTGTACTACTAAAAAGTAAGTAAGCGTGTCCATGTAGTCGCCATTTCGTAATTGTCGTTTATTTTGGCCACACTAACATACCAAGGTACTTGTATGTGACCAGACGACACTTATCAAACTGGAATCTGAAGTTTGGGCGTGAATCGTGAGCAATCAAGTGTGCAGGATCCAGTCCCGCGCGTGTCATCGTTTCAGTCTAGAAGTTCAAGAGTCTAGTGACCATCTCCTCGTGCTGACTCGCCGCAGTCACGTGTGCATGGAATGAAATGTCCATGAGCGCCAAAAACGATGCAAGGAAGAGACTTATCGATGCTGACATTCAAATTGTCCTCTCGAATCTTTAGCTAGAGCGGTCAGCCGCAAAGCATTAACAGTAGCGCGAGCGATTGCCGTAGGTATCAACTTTCTTCACGGGAAATGCACGGGTTGACGAATTCCTTTAGTTTCACACAAATCGTACATAGTTATGTGCTTTCACATAAATTATGTAAGTAACTCGTTTAGCCTACCATCTGTCATACGAATCAGCATTCCGCAAACTCGACAAGTCTGCCTCCATCTACCTTTGGACTACGAGCCTTTGGCCATCATGGAGCTGCCATTCACTGCGTCCTCCAACGCAGACACTGACGATGTCGACCGCAAGGCAAAACTCCTTGCTCTACTCGATCAAGCGCGCGTCAACCGAGGTCTCCAACCGGAGCGAAACGGCGACACTTGTGTTGGTGAAGACGTAGCGCTGGATGCCAGACCTCCTCCTATTAAAATCGAGCCGCTTACTGATGTGAAGAGCGAATACAGCAATACGCCGCACTCTCAAGAGCAGCACACACCCAAATGCATCTGCAGCCACAGCCACCAGTCGTCTCCAGCGTCAACAATCCATGAATCCCACGCTCTATCAACCTCCGCACTAAGGGAACGAAGCCTCAATGTCAGCTTAACAACTAATAGCGAAGGATCGGAGTCATTCGACACTGTATTATCAAGAAATCACGCTAGAATCACTTCCGAGACCTGCAGGGGAAGCTCAGCAGCCATCCAGACTGCCGGTGAAGATGCCAGACAGAGCGACGCGACTCATCCTTCTACCCCTCGTGTTGCTGTCCTGAGTTCGGCACCAAAGCCTCGCATTGCCGACTTAACAGGTGGCAGAGAAAAAGTCCCGCGACTGCAACAGCTCAAACCACTGCAAGTCCCAAGAAATCCCACACACCCACCTCAGCTGGAGGAAAAAAACCCAGTGAAACGTGCCGTACAACCCAAACAACCCAAACCAGTGAAACGTGCCGTACAACCCAAACAACCCAAACCTTCCACTACAAACACATCGATCACACTGAAGAAATTGGAGCTGCTGACACCGGACGAGTACGAAGACTCGGAACTGCATGGCGATTTCCAGCACATGCTGCACATTTTGATCCCTTCCAACGCCACGACCGCGTTGCTCGAGCGTCGTGGACAGCCCATCCAGAGCATCAGTCAGCAATCGGACTGCACCTTATCCATTCGGGAGCCAGAGGCGTCTCCTTTCAAAGACGATCGCCTGCTCCGTATTTACGGGAAAGCCAAGGGCATCAGCTTAGCTCAGCGACTTGTCATCGCGTACATTCGAGCGTATCGAGCCGACAAAGGAGACCCAAACTACGTCGACTTATCCACCGAGTCGTCTCCGCTCGTTGCGCTCCCTGCCACGTCCATCACGAAAGCTATGAGTGTCGCTGTGGCCTCGGGGAAGAAAAACGAAAAAGAGATTACGCGTCCATTTGTATGGATGGTTGAACGTGAAGACGTGGGGAAAATGATGGGACGACAGGGCAGTACCCTCGCAGCAATCCGTCAGAACACCGGGGCAGCCATTCATCTGGATAAGGACACTGTTCCTGGGACTAGCGAGCGTCGAGTGGTGCTCATTGGCTCGGTCGAGTCCATCGCTGCAGCCATTGGGGAGATTAAAGCCCGATCTGGTGGCCATCCAGAGGTGTCGGCGAGCCCGAGTGGGAGACTTGGACAGTATTTCGCCATCCCGTACCATTCCTCGGGCTTCCTTATTGGTCCCCAGGGCTCTACAGTTAAAGGCATCACTGACCGTACAGGAGCTCGTCTTCAGATTCCTTCGGCTGAGGACTTACCGCTGGGTAGTACGAACCGCATTCTACACATGCAGGGTACTCCTAAGCAGGTAGAACACGCAAGACGTGTTGTTGGAGCGAAACTACGAGACTACCTGAGCTCTAGCAAGAATCCACGAACGAGGACGCCGATCTCAACTGGTAAAAAGGGCGATAAAGTCACGATCAAGACGCTCTTGCCTTCCAGAATCTGTGGCTTTATGCTGGATAATCGAGGCAAACTCGTGCGCGAGATCTCGGACAAGTCGGGGGCTCACACGCATCTGTTAGCTCCTCATGACGACGAGAGTCGCGTCTGTGTGTTTAGCGGTGAGATGAGCTGCGTGCTACGTGCACAGCGTCTGGTGTTGCAGGTGATTGCAGGTGACGCGATCTCTTCGAAGCATTCGAATGTACTGAGGAAACGGAAGCGATCGCACCGAGAAGAAGAGGAGGAGGAATATTCTGACGCAGAGGAAGATATGAACAATGAGGGGTCGTATTATGACAGTGACGAGGAAGATAACTATGAAGAGTACGAAGAACCTCGCAGACTCCCTGTCAAAAGACATCGAGTGCCACTCCGCTCTCGACTCGAGTACCGTGAAGACGACGACGTGTACAGTAATGATGATGAAGAGGAATATGACGAGCGTCCACGTCAGCCAATCCGACGTCCGGTAGCTGCTCGGTCACGCGAGTACATTGACGAATATCCTGACGACTTTGACAATGGCTACAACAGCGAAGACTTTGACGAGTACCGTGACGAAAATCGAGTACTGTACGACCCACCTCGCTCTCGTACTCCTAAGAGGCCAGCAGTTGTCCGTCGACAACCGCGTGCTAGACATCAAGACGAGTACTCTGGCGACTACGAAGAGTACGACGACGAGTACAGCTATGCAGACGACAGCGATGGGTACGAACACTCTCTTATTGCCAGGAAGCAAGCGGTAAAGCGACGACCACTCGCTAGTCGTCTTGATAGTCGCCGCCCTCCTGTCGTCCTCCCTGGTCGTAAAGTGCAGATGGTAGCGCCAAAGTTGAGTCCACGTGAGCAGCGTCCCCGAGTGAGCCCCACGGACCGACGCCGTTCAAATAGCCGCCCTAGTAGTGCTCGTATTCGCTCTAACAGTCGTGGCAGTGTTCCCCGTGGCGGACGAGGCAGTGGTCGTCCCGGTTCCAGTCGAGGTCGTGGCAATGGCAGCAAACGGCGTCGGCTCTGACACTGAAACAATTTGTCCCTTTTGACAAGATGTGCATGGCCTTTTAAATCCCCTTACTGTATCGTAATTACCGTCGCACTAAGAGACCAGCGGCTGTGGCTGCAGTAGCGCACGCGATGAAAGAGAGACCCAAGTACAGTGGCGACTTTGGGGGCGATTCGACAGCTTCTCTGCGCAGTCCATCGATAGGCAACTCGCGTCCTCGTCGTGGTATTGGCTCGTCGATTAGATCGGGGCTATTGAAGTCAATCGCCCCACTAATCACACAGTGATCGTTCACTCGCGTATGTCGAAGCTGATCTTCAGCTGGCAAAGCTCTGGGCTTTCTCTCTGCCGCATCGACACGAGACGTAGCAGCGTTATCGACCCAATCCAACTCTAACGACATTTTCCGCCGCCTTTTGTGCTCTGTAGCCTCTGTATTCGCACTCTTGATGCCTTCGATCTCGAGCGGTGGCAACTGAGAACGCGGCGTTGTGCTCGCTTCGATCTCACTGCCACTATCACTTTTGTTACTTGAGCTCCTCCCAAGGGCCAACACGTCAGCAGCAGTCGTAGCAGAAGTGCTCGTACACAAGGTCTTGCGTCTCCTTGCACGGGTGTCGGAGCCCGTCTCGACCGAGCTCTGACGACGTAGAATCCTGTTCTCTAAGCGTAGAGCTGTCACTTCACGTGTGGCATCCTCTAATAGATGCTCCATATCTTCCGTTTGTTTCTCTTGACTCTCCACCGGCCCAGCGCTACTGCCTCGTCCTCTGCTCTCCAACTGCTTCTGTAATTGCGCCAGAGCTTCCGTCACGCGCTGTGTCTCGGCTTGGGCACTCGCTGTGCGGTTCTCTGCCACTTGTAGCTGTGTGGCTGCACGTGCTTTGCTGTTCTCTAGCTTGATAACCAGCTCGTCCCGTGCTGCGAGACGCTCTCGAAGCTCCTCGTTCTCAGCTTCCAGACGTCGCGTAGTACGACGTAAAGAGTCTCGTACAGCGTGTACGCGTTCTACCTCTTGGGATTGTAGCTCTAGCTGCGTTGTTACAGACTCGAGATCCTGTTGAGCACGGCTAGTCTCGACAAGTTGCTCCTTGTTACGTTGTTGCAGTTGCTCGATCTGCTCTGCGAGTTCTCGTTGACGTTGTTGCTCACGCTCTCGAGCGAGTTCCAGCTCCAGACAGCGGCGTCTGAGCTCGTCAGCGCGCTGTTCCAGTTGCGTCACTTCGACCTCACGAGACGCACAGCGTTCGCACGAGTCTGTTCTACAAAAACTACCGGAGCGGGACGGGAGAGACGGCCGTCTCGGGAGCTGCGTTTGGCTATGAGAATCGATGTACGGGTCGTAGCGCTGCAACGCAGTCTCAAGCGCTGCGTTCTGGTCACGTAGACGTTGTGTATCTCGCACGCAGCGATCACGATCGCCTTGTACAGCTTCCAGTTCGTCGTGTAAGGCGTCGATCTCTTCACGTGCCGTTTGCAGCTCCTCTAGCAATGCATTGCCCGCATTTGCAGCCAATCGGAGGTTGTCCTGCTCGCTAGCGAGCTCCATCAATACACGCGATAGCTTGTCTTGCAGCAGTCGTTCTCTAATGGAGCTGTCGTCTTCTGCTTCCGGGTTGTTACAATGATGTTTGCTACCTCTAGCGCCTCCAGAAGCTTCGCCGATTGAGCTGCGGCGGTCGTCGTCTACGAGCAAGTCGATGATGAGCTGTCGAACATGGTCGATCATTTCGTGGTCATCCGTCTCCTGCTCTTCGTGTGAGACCTCGTCACTGACCAAGTGCAGACGACTACTGCGACTGCTGCTACTCGTGCTGGGTGACGCCAGTGTCCATTGGTTGGGACTCGTACAAGCCATCGAGTCTCAGAGCTCGACGAAGAGATCAAGAAGCTTTTCTTAGTCAAACAGCCCAATGCTCAGTGAGCGAACGTCGGGTGTGCGACGATGTGGGGAAGCTGGGTGTCTTCAATGCTCAGGCCGTTGCGACTTGTTTAGCAGAGCTTTTCGAGCTCTGTACCATGAATATGGTACATGGTGTCTGGCTTGCTAAATCTAGAGGATGTGAGGAAGCCTCTTCCAGTCTTTTGTGTGCTGCGCTCCATTGCAACGCGGTGACGACGTCGCAGCGTTGCGTATTACTTGTAAGGGGCTAACTCGTCGTGGTGCTACTCGAACTAAAGCTGTCGTCCCGACGAGAATCGAGTCTGCGCCGACGTTGAAGTAACGTGCTCTGTAGACGAATGGCACATCTGAGTAAGAATATTTGTGCTGCTCTGATAACTGTTTTCCTTTTATTTCTTACAGTGCAAGTGCTGCAATTGTAGGTGAAAGACATGGGGATGCCACACGACGACGCGGCGAGTTGATGCGAGAGCGAATGCAACTACTGGCAGTCCGCACGAACTATTCAGATGCTTTCCACCGCTTACGTCGCAGCTCTACGGTCTCAGCCGCGCCCTCGACTGCAGTTGTTGCTGTTAACAACCCACTAGCTTGCAATAGTACCGGTGTATCTGGTCGAGACCGCTCGTACTCGCATCATCCGCGACGCACAACCGAAGAAACGGCAGAGTTTGTAAGTACCCGTTTCTAGAACTTCTAGATTTTGAATCTAGGACTAAGAATGTAATATTGACAGAGTCGCCAATGCGAGCAGCGTGTAGCTCTAACTAGAGAGAAGGAGATTCAAGCTCAACGACGAGCACTAGCATGTGAACAAGAGCGCCAAGCTCGCAGTCAACTTGCAGGTGAAGCTGCGCCTGCTCAAGCGGCTCTACGACTTCGAGAACGTCGAGAGAAACAACGTCGCACTGCTGAGGCCGAGTTGGAAGCGCTAGTTGATCAGCAAGAATCTTTGCTCGAGGCGATGAACATTGCGCGGATGTTGTCACCTCGATTCCAAGAGCACGTGAACTTTACACCTGCAGTTGCAAAATATTCCGCTGAAGACGAACGTGTCAAGCTGCTCCTCTCAACGTCACGAATTGGCTCCTACTATCAGTAATTTTTTAAGTCAGCAATAAATTTCATGATATTTACTTTAACTTTTAGAAAGGTCCGCGTAAACTACATTTGTTTTTCGCTAATGCATTGCCGTACTTGGAGTGCATGGTAGGCCGCCGATGCTTGTCTGTAGCAGGCTCACGCGGCTCAATCTTGCGCTGATAGTAATCTAATTCCGTCTGCGTGGAGAACCGACCGGCAACGTACAAGTTGTATCGCTCATTTTCCACTGCAAATTCCCTTGCATTTTCGGCTCGGCGCTCGTTATTTTCCTCCCACTTGCGAGCCAAAGTGTGGATCTTACAGGTCGTAGAACTTTTCCGAGGATGGAGATGTTTCTGATACTTACGCGAGAGTTTCCGACTCACACGTAGCAGCTCCGTCTGTAGCTCATTTTCTTGCTGGCGTAAAGCCACTCGATCTTTCTCAGCTGGACTTGGTTCACGTTGCAAAGGAGTCTGCGGCTTTTCTTTTGGACTAGAGCTGCACCTTAAGGCGACGTCAAGAGCGTCCTGTTCAATCTCTGGTTGATTTTTCAGACTCTTGACTTCTCGAGAAATTGCTCGATAGAGTTCAGGTGCTGAAACGGAGGAGCTTAACGTAGGATCGAGATCGGCTGTCCGGATAAGTTTGCCCCCTATCAGTCGACGTTGTACAGGTGTACCATGCATGAATTTATGCTTCGGCTTGATAGTTTGTTCGCCGAGTGGCGGTGGATCTTTAGGGAGTCCAAGAGTGTTGAAATTATTCACTCGCGGTCTGTCGCTCTGGATTCGAGAAATACTGTTAGTTAGAGCTTCGTTAGAGTTGATGGAACTCTAACGCACCTGTTGAGGACGCAGTGACTCGGCCCTGTCAGCTTTAATGAGTTGGTGCATTTCTCGACGAACTTTTGCTGGAATAGCTGGATCACTCCACGCCGTGACTCCATCGGGCGAAGAGCGACCTAAAAGATCCAGAGTCGACATCCCGACTGGAGGATACCGCACCAATGTCTCTATATTCGCATCGTCGTTGCTAGCATCTTGCGCTTTCAATGGCATCCCGGTCTGGGATCCGGAAGCTTGATGCAACTAAGCGAAGACGAGAATCAGTCCAGTGACTAGGATAGACGTGGTTTCATCGCTAAATAAAGGGTGCTTACTGTACACTGTAGACTACAGTGTAGTAGGCTGTTGTCATCGTCCTGAACTCCGGATCAGATCACTAGGGGGGGGTCTCAATTACCTCACCAGATCTTGATGCTTCCTAGCGGACAAGTCACGGATATTATACCAGTAGTTCATTCAAACGATGCTCTAATATAAAGCGTCTTATGGTCTCAATATCGATGTTGGTGTCGGCCACAATCCAACTCGCAGCTTCCGACTCAAAAGCCAACCAAGCACATCCACAATGATCCGACCGGTGTCGAATCTGCAAATGCAACGTCAGCTTCAATCCCCCAGCAAGCCTCTGAAATCGACCACGACGTCCTCTAAGTCTCCGATCAAGAAGCACCTTCAGAATGCCTCCACAGAACTCCCATCGTCTCCTCTTCATGGGGCCCAGAAAGCCAAACTACGTGCGTCAGTTCTTCAAGCAGTTTTGAACTTACTGGACCAAGACGTGAACGCACTCGCTGGAGCCCACCAAGTCCTCCAAGCCGCTGCCGCCCTACCCTTGTCCGAGCCCAACGTACAGCGTGCAACCGTCCAAGCTCTACGTGGCCTTCATCAGTCAATGTCGCCATCGTTCGGCTACGACTCTGGCTCGTCAATTTCCAACTGGGATGCGCCGATCCCACCGAGTCCACACAAACAAACAGAAACTTCAGACTGGAATTAACTCATTTCATCACTGCAAGGAATTCCTACTCGCCTGCGCTAACGAGATCCACGAGCTCGAAGATGTTCGTCCAGTGGACTTCGACTATGCGTCAACTGTACAGTCCTCTATTGACAGTGACGATACTAGGGCTGATCAGGGCTCACAGTCCTCCGACGCTTTGCACCGGACCGAGTACATGCGCGACGTTGACGAGATGTCAGCAAGTGATCGAGGGGTTTGCCGCCAGGTGCTCCGAGCTCTGCACGCACACGCTCAGACCCAACGCCGACGTTCGAGTGCCCCGAACTTGGCGTTAAAGTTTCGTGTCTTCGAGGCACTCAAGCTGCAAGCGAGTCTTATACCTAAGAGACTCGCCTTCCAGCGTCTCAAAAACGGAGGTCGCTCACGTTATCAGCCCAGTTCGACGGCTCTTGGCAAGACCCGCAGATCTCTGGACTTCCAGACGCTCATGATGCACCATTCGGACGTGCTGCTTCTTATCCTAGCTCTAGTGGTTTTAGCTAACCTGCCTGCCAAGTACATCGTGTAGTAAACTCAGGTTACCATCAGGTTTAACTCAGGCTTAAGTTTATTAAACGAGAGGATACAGCATAGCGACAGGATAGCGATATCTGACGAGGGAGGTCTCAAACATAAATTACAGTGGCGGCGTTTAAAACACTCAGGTCGGCAGCGCATGGGAGTTTCCGAACGTTCCGTGGCTTAGAACTGCTCTGAGTTCCCAGGCTTCTCCGAGCCAACGGGGCTCGTATCTTTCACTCTTCTTACTCACACCAATTGCTTTACGAGACACCCGACGAACGCAACAAGCCGCCACTCCTTTCGGCCAGGAATGTGCCACTGGGCACTACAAAGTCCGTGAAGCGCCCGAAGCCGGAGCCCTGAGCAGCCAGCGCCACATGGAGACACCTGAGCCAATCCTTCATCTCTCCTTCCGTGTAGGCACTAAGCAGTACGCGGCCCTTTTTACCGCGGATAGCGAACCTCCACATCGTGGCCTGGGAGCCGTCAAACACCGAGTCACGAGGCATAATCTCAATACTCTTAGGGCTGCACTTGGCCAGGTCGATTTCTCCGCGTTTCCGACCGTGTTCCTCACGGAAGAACGTCATCTTCGTACTAGTAAGCACCACAAATCGGACCTTCCAGCCTCCGGAACGTAGTCCGAAACCTTGCTTAAACAGTAATCCGGACTTGATGACCCCTCCACGAGGCACAGTAGCCGCACGCATCATGACGCTCTCTCTAGAGATCGAGAAGCCGTCTTCGTCCACTATAAGAGTTCGTGGGAGTCTCGACGGGTCGCAGATGATCGTATCAATGTCATTGTCGTCGTCTTCGCTTTCCATCCTTTCGAGTATAGGAATGGGTCCGGAAGCCGGCATAGCCATAACGGCGAGCAGTGACTCGGCCCGGTTGAGTCTGTTGCTATTGTTGACGTAGTTTTCCTTCTCCTCTTCCTCGTCCACCGTCGAGATGGCGCGTTGGTCGCGATTGCGCGCAGCAGGAGACGGGAAGTAGTTACTCCCAGCGTCCGAGCTGCCGGCGTCGCTAGCCTCGTACCAGTCGTCTTCGCTGGTGACGGAAGGGCGCTCGCTGGGCCGTCCCATGGCGCGCAGGAGCTGCGCCTTGTACACGGCATTCTGCTGCTGCTGCTGCGAGACGCGCAGCATGCGCGAAGGTCGGAAGGACAAGAGGCTCGGACGAGGAAGGAGCTCCTCGCCATGCGCATCCATCATGGCCGGCACTTCGGGGTCGTATCTGTCGTAGACGCTGTAGCGGTCTGCGGATGGCCAGGTGGGCTCTAGTACCGCGCGCGAAGCGGCGGTGGTGGACGGCGTGGGGGCCATTTTTGACTAGTGGCACTGCCTCTTGAGGGAATGGAGAGCTACTCGCACTTAAACGGGTGATCGTTTGATCAGGTTTGCGGTTTGTAACGAGCTGAACACATGCGGGAGCGGCATGTAATAAACCTGTAAGAAATGGTAGAGCGTGAGACCTCAGTTGATGATTCGACGCCTGGATTTTGGAGTTTGTTTGCGAAATAGCCTGTGAAACCTGATTTCGAGCGAGAATGGATGGGGCGGTCACAAAGTGGGATTTCTGGAAGCGGCGTGGCTTTCACGCACACCAATTGACCAATTGACTGGCGCGACTGGCGCCCACGTAAGACTGGCATGGTCGAAGAGGAAACGAAGTTCGTCTAGAATGTCTACGAATTCATGAGTGTCCCTATGGTAAAGGTCGCTCTCTTCCTCGTTGCCAGCGTGCTGCGGCAGAGCCATTTGCGTGCTCGTCCATTAGCCCTGGCTGTCGAATATAAAAGTCGCTTTTGGCGGATTTCACTGAGACGTTATCAGAGCCACAGCCACACGCTGTCTCCGAAACAGCCGAGCGAATTGGGTCGCCGATAAACAAAGAGAGACCGAAAAGTGACCCCTTCACTTCGAAGTAAAGACATTGTGAATGGAGGAGCTTGACTGTCTAGCAAGGCCGTTCCAAGCTTCACGTGTTTGCGAGCTTCCTTTTGGATCGTGAGCTGAAAAAAAAGGGGGAATCTTCGATGTTGTCGCATCGCACCGCGCTCACACGACCGAGGCGTGCCGGATCGCTTCGTCGATTGCATGGCTGACGAATTCGCAGTTGGAACGTCCTGAAATCTCATGTCATCACCGTCGGCGCCAATGATGGAGGATACCAGGTTGCCATGTCGCTTGGTTGCTAGCGTGAATAGACCTAAAAAGCATGTTTCGGTGCACGTCCGTTTTTAAGACTTTTGTGTACACCACATCACGTTTGGATTTTCATCTAATCCCATTGCTATTGGCCATAGTGACGAATGGAGGTGACGACCTTCAAGAAGAAGAGCAAGCGCTCTGCCGTTTGTCGTAAACGCTCTCGTCGGCCTCTCGAAGACTCACAAGACGCTTCTGGCGACGCTCCAGGCGATGACACTGACGTGGAGCAGATTCAACGCTCCATCGAGGAGCTACGAGAGGACCAAAAGCTGCGCGACCAGATCTTAAGAGAGGAACTGGCCGCCCAAAAGCAGGAGACGGCGAAGAAGACGCAGAAGAAGGCGGAGGCGTCTACCGACACAAGTCAATATGGACTGCATGACCCCACCAAAGACGGATCGACCAATCAGAAGCTGCTTACGCTTCTTGACGGACAATTCACAGGCCAAAGCGCTACGACTGAGAAGGATCAGCATGTAGAGCTGATGAACAAGTTTATCGAAGAGAGACTGCAGAAGAAAAGGAAAATAGATGGTAAGCAAAACGCAGGAGACGTTGGAGATGCAGCTGCTGCTCTTAAGACTGCTGAGGATAGGTTGTTCGAGCTGCCTGAACACTTGAATCCCGATGTTCCGAGCAGCTCGAAGAATTACGATGAGGGGACAGAAGGGGGTATGCTGATGGGGAATACAGGCATTGCAGAGGTGGAACTTCCGTCGTCTTATGCGGAGAGAACCGAGAAGGCGACTAAGAGAGCGTTGGAAGCGAACAAACCGAGGGCTGCGAAGCTGGACGCCATAGGCGGACTGGCAAGTTCCGTCGTTCCGGGCAACTTCAGCACCGATTTTAATCGCCACAAGACTAACTATGTTGCGGAGATGAAGAGTCTGAATAAAGGTAGGAGAATATGCCGCGGATGTGGCGTGAGGAGTGTGACCTGACGATATTGTCGTTGATGATTGCAGATGAGCAACGCGAACGGGGATTTCGCCAAGGTGCGAATTAAACTTTGTCGTGTGTCGTATTGCACTGCTTCATACTGATGTTTTAATTGTTGATTTACTTCAAAGTCGGCAAGAACAGGGCAACCGACAACCACGCTGTCTCGCAGTTCCGAAAGCTAGAAAGTCGCAAGCTACGTCATCGCTGACCTGCATCTCATATGTCAACATGGCTACATTCATGTAAACCACACAAATTCCGTTGAATGAATGACCTCTGGTGTAATAGTGACATCAGTCCACCCTGACTCGAATCTGTAGCAATCGGGCATCGCCACGTCACGAGGTGCTCGTTGGATCGAGGCCCGAGCTAGATACGCACTACCCGGTACACGCAGAACCTGGTGCATCGCTCAGTATCACGATCTATTAGACTATGAGCTGGCTGTGGGGAAACGAGACGACAGAGCAGGCGCAGTTCGTGGTGAGCGCTCTGCAGAGTGAGCTGGATGAGCGCGAGAGCAAGATAAAGGCGTTGGAGGCGGCTCTGAAGCGCGAGCAGCAGGATATGACGTCACTGCTGGAAGACGAGGTGAAGGAGCTGGAGGCACGACGTAAAACTATCGAGAAGGAGCTGGCGGGTGTGGACGCGCTCATTAAAGAGAAACAGAAGCTCATCCAGAAGAGTAAGAGCGACGGGCTTAAGAAGAAAAAGAAGAGCAAAAAGAGCAAAACACCCGTCAGTTCACCTAAAGCTTCAGCGATTGAGGAGAAACCGGCTGCAGCTACCAATGGCAAACCCAAAGAGAACGGTAGTACGGTACTGTCCCCCAAGGCCAAGAAGAAACAACAAAAGAAGAAGAAGGAAGCGAGGTGGGTACAACCTATGGAGCTATAGAGGACGGGACTGCCAGTGCTCACTGAACTGTATAGTGCTGCTAGCGCTGATGTAGAGTCGACAGAGGACGCGAAGGTGTTGCCCATGGACAAGAACTTGAAGATGGTGGCCAAGGAGGAGCCCAATGTGGCTTTCATCATCCAACGCAGCAATGTGAGTGCAGTGTTTTTTATACTGTTTTAAACAAAATGCTGATGTTTTTATGATTAGAACTCGAACACAGTGGTGTACGCTGCCTGCAAGTCTTCGAACGGCAAGTCTCTGGACCCGACGACACCGATCAAGGTGTACTGGATTATGTACGAGAAGGACGGCAATCCTCGAGAGGATCTTAACATGATCGAGCGTAACACAGCGTACGGTGTTTCCTCCAAGCCGTCCGATGTGCCGGGCGAACACTTGGCGAGCGTCGCGTCGCTACGGGACCGTGACTGCGTGTTGCGTCTGGACAAACACGGCAATGTGATGGCGCTGACTACAATCAACGGAAAGAAAGGGATGATCTTACGGCGTGTGTTCGTGCAGATGACCACGAGTTGGGGCATCCCGACGGTGGACCACGTGGACATCTTCGGCGTGGATCCCGTCACCTTGGAGCCTGTGTACGAGAAGAAGAAGAACAAGTAACTGGAAAGGTGGCGAGAGAGCCACCCACATGTCGTAAAACAATGCAGTGCTTTTTCTCTACTTCTACTGTACATAGTATGAAGTCTAAATGGCACGACGCATCGTGACCAAAGCTGCAGCACCGAGCGTCGTGCCCAACACACCACGTAGAACGTCCTCAGGTACGTCGTGTGTAATGTACTTGGACGTGACGAACACTCCAACAGCCACAGACCCGCCGACACGTACAGCGGTTGGTAGATGGATCGACTTGGCTCGCAGGTTGAACACGGTCGAGGACGCGGCTGTGGGCACTACGGACAGTAGCGACGTACCGATGATGGTGGGCTGAGGCATGTCGCTTGCAGCGGTCAAGTAGGAGGTGATAAGGATGCCTCCTCCCAGTCCACAGAGTCCAGAGATGAAGCCAGCAGCAGCTCCAGCGAACACGTACTTGACGTTGACCCTGGCAAAACCCATCCAGTCGGCCTTGACACGTTCCATGTATTCCGCTGATACAGCAGCGGAAATGGCTGCACTGGACGGTTGTTCTTCGCCTTCTTTAACGGAATTGCGAGCCTTCTCGAGGTCTTTTTGCTGGGGGACGAAGAACTGAAGATCTAGAGGATCTTGGCCTTCGCTCCACTTGGGCATGTATGGACTGTTCTTGAGGAAGATGAGAGGAGAGCAGAGGAGCATGGCTGAGCCCACTACGAGCGAGAGTTTCTTGCTGGTGAGACGGTGTGCAGTGCGAACGCCGTATTTGGTGGCGAGGATAGCAGGGATAGTTGTCGTGAGCGCTAGTGGCACGTTGCATAACCCCGATTGGAGATAATTCCAAGCGCCAACGGAGGAAGCGATGGCTACAGCGCCCAGTGAGGTGCCATTGATGGCTTGCTGCGACAAGGACGTGAACTTGGCCATCGCCTACCAGTGAAAAGAAGGTCAGTATGGCTGTTGCACGGCGTGTCAGATCAGCTTGGTTTAACGACTCACTGGGATGAGGATGATGCCTCCACCGACGCCTGTGAGTGCTGACACCATACCAGCTACGCCACCTGCAGTTGACAAGCAGTTTGCCAGAACAAACCAGTCAGGATACGGGTGAAAGAGCACGAGTGACGCGTGTGGCTGATGTACCGGTGGCAACCCCGACGCCGAGCGGGATGGCAGCACTCGAGGTGCGCTCCTTTGGTGCCGAGCAGAGCACACGGCGGCCGGGGAGGCTGTTGCGCTGAAGCCCACGAGCGCTGGAGCGGCGGAGGGTGCTTGCAAGCATCTTGAGGAGTGAAATGAGCGCGGGCAGCTTATGTCGGTGTCACAGAGAAGGGAAAAGTAAATATGAAAAGAAATAGATTATACGAGGGTTGCTGAAACAGCGCGTAACTTTAAAGGTTACCTCCGGAATCAGATATAACAAGTTGGGCTTTTTATAAAGGTTTTCCCTCCTGAATCCATGTTGCGATGACGCGCTTCGTGACGCACCTTCTGATGGTGTCTTCACTGATTGGCTAATATTCATTTTTTTAATTGCCATGTTGGCAAGGCGACTCTCGACGAAGGCGTCGAGGTCGCTGCAGCACACGCAGAAGATCAAGAACGGCGTCAAGACAGCGACGTCACAGCAGGATGCAGCCACTAAACCAGCAGAGAGCACGGAGATGAATCCATGGAGCCATTTCACAGCTTTTAACAGCATGGAAGACTACGTGGACGTCACACTGATTCAGTACAACAACCAAGAGGAGGACGACGAAGACAAAAAGCTATAGAACTCGTGAATCCGTCAAGCCAACTGCACAGAATACGTCTTTGCGTGATTAATTTTTCTTCCCAGAACCAAAATATAAAACCTCATAGCCTAGCAGAGTGATCCACGGAGCTTGCTAAATGAGCATAACCATCGGGTCTCCGTCCTGGATGTACATGACCTTGTTCTGCTCTTCCAGATCCACCAGGACCTTTTCTAACTCGACTCGAGGCACTTCGTCTCCCCTGGATCGACCATCATTTAGTCGCGACAGAATGTCCGTCAGTTTGATACTGTCGTTCTCGTCGTCCACGTTGGCGTCGCTGCCCATGTCAGCCAACACACTCAGCACGTCGTCCGCAAGGGTAGCAGTACTGTAGCCACAACAAAGCACAAGTCAGCAACACTGTACAGCACAACAGAAACCTTACAGCGACGTACCTCCATGCTCCACGGTCGCGTTTCCTCGACTTGTCCGGCGTCACTGGCGTCTCAATCTCCAGCTCTGCCAATGCCTTCTGCGTGCCCGCCACAGGGAGCTCCGGTGTCTCCTCTGGTGTCGGAGCTGTGACCTCGTTCGAGTGTTCGGACGCGTCGTGGTACAGTGCGAAGCTGATGAGCGACATGGCTTTCTCTGCGTCCACAGCTTCGATTGTCTTGCTGAGACGCGCCTTGGCATGAGCTGAAGCGAGACGAATCAGCGTCTCCAGACTACGCGCCGTCACGGGCAAAGTTCGCGCGTTCTGCTGCGACCGCAGCTCTGCGTACCCCTCCGAAATCAGCTCGATAGCTCCGTCTGTCAGCACCGGTTGGTAGCGCGTCTTAGCGTAATAAATGTACTTCTTGAGGAAGTCTAGCGTCAGAATGCCGTTGCCACTGCCAGCATACGACGCAGACTGATACCCGCCGTGCAGTAGAGGGTCGAACTTTTGAAAAATCGACTTCTTCTTGGCCCCGTCCGTCCTGCCACTTGAGCTCTCATCGATCAGTGCCATGTGGTCTGTAGAGCTCACTTCGAACGACAACGGTATGCCCTCCTGGCCCGGACGAGTATACCGATGCATACGCAGCACGTGGTCCGAGATGTTGCGGTCTGCGCCGCGGTCCAGACGGTCCAGCACCACGAACAACAGGTCAAAACGCGACAGAAGAGAGTCCGGCAGTCCGATGTTCTCTTGCGGCTTCTTGTTCTTGTTGTACTGGCCGTACACGGGGTTCGCTGCTGCCAAGACACTGCAACGTGCGTTCAAGGTAGCGTGGATACCTGCCTTGGCGATAGTCACCGTCTGCTGCTCCATGACTTCGTGGATGGCCACACGATCGGCCTCACTCATCTTGTCGAACTCATCGATGCACACGATGCCTCGATCAGCCAGCACCATGGCGCCAGCTTCCAGACGACGCTCCTTCGTGTCGGGATCAATCGTCACCGCAGCTGTCAGACCCACACCGGAGGACCCACGACCTGTCGTGTTGACGGCTAGAGGCGCGATCGTCCGCACGAAACGCAGCAGCTGAGACTTGGCCGTCGACGGATCTCCCACCATCAAGATCTGTAACATTATAGGTTAGTAACCAAGTAGCAATCAATTGTTAAGTAGACACCAACTCACGTTGACATCACCACGGAGATGTGTGCCGTTCTCCAAGTTCTTCTCCACTCCGCCGAGTAGTTGAAGCAGCAGCGCCTGTTTAATCTCTGCGTGGCCGTAAATAGACGGCGCAATCGAGCGTGACAACATCTCAAAGGCGTCGTCACGATCAGCAAACACGCGGATGTTATTCAAGTCCTCAGGTAGCATGACGATGCCGTTCACTTCTTTGCCCATGAGTTGGACGTTGTTGGCGATGAGAACTGTCCTGAACACCGCAGTGGACGACGCTGTGCTGTTACCGCCAAGTGGACGGTAGATACCGATCACTCGGACACGGTCACCGGGCTTACACTTGTCCACAATATCGTTCTCGACAATAACCTCACATGAGCGAGGAAGTTGGCCCAGAGGCGCTGTCTCCGGGGTTTCCTGCATGCTGATCATCTGGTAGTCTTTGTACTGGGATAGCCCGAACTCAGTCTCCAGCAAGTTGCCGTTCTCGTCCTTAGTCGGATAGACACTGGACGTTGGAGCTCCTGTGATGGACGTGTTGTCTCTGTACTCCCTGGATAGAATAGCATTGGTTTCCTTGCAGTAATGCACAGAGCGAACGACCTTCGGGCGTACGGCTGAGCACTTGGTGACAATACCGTGAACACACACCATTTGAGTGAGATATGAAGCCAAAAGTCCGCGAGGATTCACATTGTGGTGGCCAAAGTCTCCCTCGAAGCCCACGTGGAACTGCATATCTTTCGATGCGTCTGCTTCCTTGCTTCCGTATTGACTGTTGATATTGAAGACCTTTTCCTTTACTGCTTCTTCAAAAGGAGGTACGAACTCGGCAGGGTTACGCAGTAAGCGGTTCACGATATTGTCCTGGCCGCCTACCGCCGGGTCCGTGAACGAGCTGTCGTATTCGCGGAGATCATTGAGATTCACGACCAATCGCGTGCTCTTCTTGAGGATCATACTGCTCAGTTTCTCGGGGTAATTACCATAACCACCCTGTGTCAATGTGTCAATGATACACAAGTCAATACGGCGCTCCAAAAGACCGGAAAAAAACGCTATTAGCACTGCACACGCACTTCATTCTCGAGAAACTGCTCAAAGTATTGCTTGTGGCGGCGGAAGGCCTCGTCCAGAGCGTCCTGCTGCAGCTCCATGGTGTCGTTCTGCTCCCGCGCGCGCGAATATCGAGTGGCCTCTCCCCTCGTTCAAAAACGAAATGTCAGTGGAATGAGGGAGAATAAAGAGTGACGACAAAGAACCGCGCTGATTGGTCGGGATTCATATTTTAAATGCAGCGGTTAGGTGTTCACAAATCTGTGACGCGTGATAAGATGGCTACATCAAGTTGCACACCTCGGACGTGACCCGCACCACGTGCTTTTTAACGAGCAGATAGTTATGTGGCCGCTCATCTTCTAGACTCTTCTTCTTACGTTGCAAGTCGCTGATCTCTTCGCGAAGTTTCAGTCGCTCTTCGTCTCCGAGTCGCGCCATGCGCTCCAGTTCACTGTTGATCTCGACCAGCTCCGCCACCTCAGCGCGATGCCGCTTGACGGTGCTACAGATCCACAACACCAGTTTTGTATTGCTGCGTAATGACTCAGGGATATCTGTGAGGCCTTCGTTGCCCTCGCAGCATACTTCTTCTAGTACTTGGCAGTCGCATAGTGTGTGTGGCAGTAGCGTGAGCTTGTTGTAGCGTACGTTGAGTACGCGCAGGTGTTGCAGTCGTCCGAGCTCCGGTGGTATCGTTAAAAGGTCATTATAAGACACATCGAGATCTTCTAGTCGCTCGCAGTACTGCAACTCACGGGGGAGCTGCTCAAGTCTGTTGCGGTGGAGATCCAACTTGCGCAAATTCACACAGCGAGCGATCTGTACAGGAATAGAGACGATGCGGTTGTTGGCCAACAGCAGCTCACGGAGGAGCTCCAACTTGCCAATTGATTCGGAAATATGTACGAGCTGGTTACGTGACACATTGAGCACCAACAGCGCGTGTGCGTAGGTCCACACGACTTCATCCAGAGTCACCCAGTGTTTGTCCTGCAGATCCAGAATTCCATTTTCGTCGGGTACGAGCGACGCGTCGACGACATCCTCCATCGCTCGCAAATAATGGTTGCAAAGCGCGTATAAATGTGACTCAGCGCGTGTAAATGTGACTCAGCGCTTTAGTCTCGAGTACAACCTGTCAACATTGCAACTCGAGCAGGAATAGCACGCGGTTTCAGTCTAAAGCCCTTGGACGCGCAGGAGCCCAGACAACTATTAACCTTTTGCCTTTAGTGTACAGTATCAAGCGATCACAATGCGTGTACTCACTATCTGATACACCTCAGTTCAATTATCAGACATGCTGAAGTTGGAATCAGATTTTTTCGTTTGCACATGTATCCCTGAAGTTATTGCCTTCGCACGCTCATGATCGATCATACGACTTTGATGCGGTCGTCTGGCGTGTTCGGTGAAGCTGCTGCGAGTCGACAGAGTCTTCCTCGGTTTCGTTTCGCCGCTAGTTTCGCTGTCAAATCCAAGAATCAGACCGGTCTCACCCGAATCCTAGCACACCATCGCATGTGTGGGTCATGATCCCAACCACCACGAGCCTAGCGAATAATGCTCGAACAACAAGAAGCCCCTCTCAATCGCGTTATATCCAGAGTAAAGCAGTGGAAGCTGCGATGTGTCTTGGTGGGAAATCGAGTACTAAGGGACCAGCAGCGCTCTACTAGTAGAAACGTTCACTGCATTCGCGATGGAAGATCCCCCGCCGAACGATTGCTTCGTACGTTGTTGCATCCTGGATCGGTCAAACTACTCGATGTCGAGCAGTCCAACGCCTCATTCTACCATTTACCAGTGACACTCAACACCTTTACAATCCTTTCTCAACGTCGACAACGATGCTCGGCAACATCCTGGGCTCGCGTCTCGTGACTGCCGCCGTGTCTTGCGCTGCTCTCGCACTGTCATCAGCTTCCGCGGAGGAGCTGTGCTCGGTGGTCGCGTACTCATTCACCGTGGCCAAGTCGACGTACCCTGATCTGTCGACAGCTCTTGGGACGCTGGAAAACAACGCCATCGCCTCGTGGTTCACAGACCGCTCAACGACCGAAGAGCGCGCTGGCTTGCTTTCCCGTATGCTGAGCCAATGTCCAGAGAGCAGCCGCCTCAGTATCGTGGTCTACGGCATCCCTCAAAAAGACTGTGCCGGTGGGTTCTCCACAGGTGGAAGCGTGACAGACACCAACAGCTACAAGACCTTTTTGAAGCAACTCACGGACACTATCGGTGATCGCAAGGTGCTCTACGTCGTCGAGCCCGATGCAGTGGGTCTATTAACTCAAGACAACGGATGTGGTGCAGCGGCCGGGTACCTCGAAAACCTCAAAGTTGCTGTTGCGGCGTTGTCCGTTAACCCCAACGCAGAGCTTTACCTCGATGTCGGATATTGGATGTTGGCGTACCCCAATAGTGCGGCTAAGGTTGCCAATGCAATGACAGATATCGGCAACTCTGGACGTGTCAAGGGGATCACTATCAACACGTCGAACTACCGCTCCAACGACGAGTGTGCCGGATATTGCACCAATTTTCAGAATGCCATGGGGTCTACCGCAATGACCTGCATCGTAGATACCAGTCGCAACTACAATGGTTCGCCTACTAATGATTGGTGCAACATCCCTACTGCGGGTATCGGTAAACCACCAACGTCGAACACGGGGTACTCAAATCTCGACTACTTTATGTGGATTAAGCCTCCTGGAGAGAGTGACGGCAACTGTTGGGGTGGTCCGGCGGCAGGCTCGTTCTTCTATGGCGGCTTCAAACTCCTGTGGGACCAAGGATACTACGTCAAAGAGCTGGGGATGCCAAAGATTGGCGAGACTTCTGGCACTATTGTGACGTCTGCACCTTCAACATCGCCACCAACCACGACTTCTACAATGGCGCCAACCTTTGATCCTTCTACCAACGCTCCGGTAGCCACGGACACTCAAGCGCCGACCACGTCGACCCCCGTGATTGTGACTCCGTCGCCGGTCTGGTTCACCACTTTCCCCGAAACTGTTGCTCCAGGCACTGTGGTGCCAGCATCTTTTACTCCAGGCACTGTGGCACCGTGGTCATTTGCACCCAGTCCATGCAGAGTCAGGAAGCGTCTACGCTCACTGTAATCGATGTCATCTACACGTTCAAGTACCCTTTACAAGATCAGTTCAAAACCCGACTACGTTAGCACTTTTTTTCCAATTACCTCACTACATGTAGTAACACCGTAACTCAAAAGCTGTTCACACTTTATTGAGTTCTTAACGTGGAAAACGACAAATTAACTTACGCCGACACCCATGTGACCTTGTTCTCGATGGGCTTTCGAGCAACCTTGGGGGTCTTTGTGTCTTCCTTCGGCACGCCGACGTAGAAGAGTCCGAGGCACTTGTCAGCCTCCTCCAACTTCAGATGGTCCTTCATCTCCTGCGCCAGCGTAATAGGCGGACCCGAGCTCCAGTACGCCGCGACGTTGTGTGCAGTGGCCATCAAGTGCATGTTCTGCACGGCACAGGCCACCGCGCACATCTCCTCCCACTCGGGGATCTTGCCGCTCTTCTGGCGCTTCATGCAGATAGCGATGACGTGCGATGAGGCTGTGCAGTTGAAGATCATCTTCTTGTATTTAGACTCTAGGAACTTGTCCGCCGGCACGTGGGTTTTGTACCAATCAGCCATGAGTTGGCCAACCTCCAGACGCTTCTCGGGCGCCTCGAACACCACGAAGCGCCAAGGCTCCGTCTTGCCGTGTGTGGGGGCCCAGTTAGCAGCTGCCAACATCTTGTTCAGCACCTCACGAGGCACCTGCTTGTTGCCGTCATAGTCTGGCGGGAAGATACTGCGGCGTTCGGCGATTAGCTCCTCAGCGGTCCAGAGTTTGCCACCATTTGCATTGCGCACAGTCGTTTTAGAAACGGTCTTGACCGTCTTCGTGCCATTAGCAGAGGCGGCAATATCCGCGCGCAGCTTGAGCACGTAGAGCGCGAGACCGACGCTCGCGGCGGTGGACACAGCAGCCAAAGTGGTGGAAGTCTCGGGCATCTTTTGATGCAGGGGGTGAAAGAGGAAATGATCTGTTACAAGTACAGGAATCTGTTATACATGTACATGTACTGACGTATGTGTGGCCGACACGCGAGGGAATGATGGTAGTTCGGTGGCGAGGCATATTCTGCCACTGGCTTCTGCCACAATTGATTACTCTGCACTAAAATGAGATTAGTATAAGTTTTCCAGGCATAACAGTTTCTAAATATGTTTTTTAAATTATAAAACAGGGGCTCGTTGCTAATATTGAAGGTTATCTGCTTCTATGTGATCTAAAATCCGGACCGGCGATTATGCTTTCGCCACACGCGCCTGCTCGTCACCAGTTGGCTACCGAACCATGCTCGCCGCACACCTGAAGACCGCGCTTCGGCGCCTCCCTCGCTCTTTCCATGCATCAACTGGATCCCCACTTCAAGCCGCGTACACTCAACGAAGTCATCACCAACAAAGACCTATAACTTCCTGGAAACTGGGCGTCATCGGAGCGTTCACTGCGGGTCTAACTGCGTCCACTGCGCTATGCGAACAGCTAACCGAAGAGAAGGAAGCTCCCGTGACTCCGGGGAAAGTGCGCTCTGACCTGCCGACGTTCTCATTCGACGAAGTGCAGCAGCACACGGGGGCGCATAAGAACGGCACGTGGGTCGTCTACAAATACGGCGTGTACGACATCACCAAATTCATCGCGTCGCACCCTGGCGGCACCAAGATTCTATTGGCCGCGGGCAGCTCCATCGAGCCGTTCTGGCAGCTATATGCTGCTCATAACCACGCAGACGTACACAAGATATTGGAGAAGTTGCGGATTGGCAACTTAAGAGAAGAAGACGTGGCGATGCTAGAGAAGGTGCGGAAGGAGAGGTACGGCGACGGACCGTACGGCAAAGATCCTACGCGTCACCCGGCCCTTAAAGTGAATTCCAGTATGCCATTCAACGCCGAGCCACCTGCTGAACTGCTGATGCAATCGTTCATCACCCCGAACGATTTATTCTTCGTGCGCAACCACTTGCCTGTTCCCGAAGTGGACATTGCGAATTACACTCTAAAGATTTCTGGACTGGGTATTGGCAGGGAGAAGCACATAGAGTTCACACTAGACGACTTGAAGAGCAAGTTCAAGCACCACACAGTGACGACGACCGTGCAATGTGCAGGCAATCGACGTGCAGAGATGTCGGGGGTGAAGCAGGTGAACGGCTTGAGTTGGGACACCACCGCCTTGTCTACGGCGAATTGGACAGGTGTTCTGCTCTCGGATGTGCTGGCGAGTATCGGTATTACCGACGAGGATTCGCGACAAGGAGAGTGCGAGTGCGAGGTGGGAGAAAACATGGAGACGTGTGACGACTGCAACACTGTCATCCAACACGTTCAGTTCGAAGGACTCGATGCCGACACGGAAGGCAACACGTACGGCGCTTCGATCCCTGTGGCTACAGCGTTAGACCCCAGAAAGGACGTCCTCCTTGCATTCGAGATGAACGGAGAGACCATCCCACGAGATCACGGCTACCCGCTGCGCGTCATCGTGCCAGGTACAGTGGGTGCTCGCAACGTGAAGTTCTTGCATCGCGTCGTGCTCTCAAGCGAAGAAAGCCCCAGTTTCTGGCAACAGCGCGACTACAAAGGGTTCCCGCCGAACGTCGATTACTCTCGGGATGACTATTGGAAGTTTGCTGGCGATTCCATCCAAGAACTTCCCGTGCAGTCTGCGATCACAGAGCCTAAGAACGGGTCGATTCACTTGGTAGACGATGCCTCGGACAGCTCAATTGTGACCGTGAAAGGCTACGCTTGGAGTGGCGGTGGTCGCAACATCATCCGAGTGGATATCTCGGTTGATGGAGGCAAGACGTGGACTCCAGCGGAGCTTCACGAGTCCGGGAAACGTCAAAAGTATAACCGCGCATGGGCGTGGACTCCTTGGGAACTGGACGTGGACGTGCCGCCGGGTACCGAGAAGCTGGACATCATGTGTAAGGCGGTGGACGCTTCCTACAACGTTCAACCGGACACGATCGCTCCTATCTGGAACATGAGAGGAGTGCTGAACAACGCGTGGCATCGCGTGCATGTGACAGTGGAGGAATCCGACGAAGAAGAGGACGAGTAACTTTTCTATTTTCTTTAAGGGTTAAATGTTGCAGGATAGAGAATGCCTCGTATCGTCTTGAGCATGACGTCGGACCATTGTGTCGTCGCCTCGCGTAAGTTTTCTAACTCGCAGAAAGTGACGGGGAACTCTGGTCGACGGACTTTGTAGAACGCAGCACGTCGCATGGTGACCACCACGTTTGTCTTGTCTCTTGCGCTCTTGTCCGCCGTCAGTACGACTGCAGTGGAGATGTCTTTGCGGACGTGTCGGTGAGGTAGATAGGGATATATCTCGTCCTCATCCACCGAGTCTCCGACCATGACAGCGCATGGTTGACCATTGTACCCATCGCTTAGCATGGCTCGGAAGGACACGACGTTGCCCTCTGTAGTGATGTTGTCTTCGTTCGTCGATAAGATTCTGGCGTGGAAAGCTTCCTCGTTCACTTCGTCGTAGTCGTCACGGATGGTTATGTGTCCCAGCTGTTCCGAGATGATGATCTCCATGTTGTTCTTGTAGTAGGACAGAGCGTCAAAGACTTGCTGGAGCGACTTTACGCCTGGAAACTTGATTCGTCTCGAACCCCACCCAGCACAGATCGCCCTCGTCGTTCTCGAATTGATTCCGAGAGTTCGGTGGCTTCATGAAGCCATTAATGTCTCCGTGTCCCATGATGAACTCGAGAGCGCTGCGGATCTTCAGGTCTCGCATGGCTAACAACGTCGCTCGTCTCTCTTTCCAGTCCTTAGTCAACTTGATATGACTGTAGAGAGGATAGTACTGTTGGTCTGTCCGACACTGCGAGAGCGCCGACTGTATCTTGGCCACTTGCAGCTGCTGCGCGTTGATCGAGTACATTAACGCCGAGAATGTCGTCGCCATGGGACGTAGCACGGGGTCTTTATGCAGTACCAGCTGCGGTGGCAAGCCTCTGGTCGTTAGCACGGCCACGCCAGACTCTAACAGTCGAATCTCCTTCTCCACTTTCTCCTACTTACATGGTAGAAATAACAATTCTCATTTTCAACCCATTTCGACAAGTGTGGCAAACGCTGCTTTACCTGTCGCTCTGCGTGGCTGAGTTTGCGTCGCTTGTCGACATTGGGCGCGAGCACTTTCAGCGCTTTGGGACTCGATTTAGCCACAGGAATCAACTTGTCCACGCACTTGGGGCTGGCGTAGCCGCTCGTCAACATTGTTGTCTTTCACTTGAGCTCTAGCTTGATTATTCCTGTTTGATAACAGGCCATTAATGTACTTCCTCTGGTCGGAAATGATCACGCGAAGTTAGTATGATAGGTCGTTCAACTGTTCAATCCTCGATAGAAATTTGAAAAAACCTATCATACTAGCTGACACGTCTTTCAACTGCTCTTCAGTTTGTCACGTACTTCGTCTCGATTCTTCCGCTTTCTGCCGCTGTTCTTCTTAAGCCGGTTAAGTCACTCACCCCTACGACACCAGCCGTCATTGCAGAGCTGTACAGCTCCAATTAACTTCACGGTGTCCGGAAGTCGGCTCATAAGAACATCAAACGCTTCACGGGGTAGTTCTCTGTTGTTGCTGATCTTTAGAAGCTCGTCAATGACGGCTTTTGCGCTCGTTGTCGATAAGGTTGGACTTCGGCATGTTTATAGAGGAAGAAACAGCGTAGCGCAGGCGTGGCGGGTCGCACTCCAGGCGAGGCTTGAAACCTTGAGAGCTAAAACTGAAATTGCAGAGGCTAGAGAAGTCCGTTCTGCGCACAGCCGGTGGAGGAGGTGCAGGGCTTCCGTTTGGTCCAATCAGATGCCGTATTGGATAAATAGAGCTGAAGCGATTGGTCATTTTGTCAGTTTCGCGTGATCATTTCCGACCAGAGGAAGTAACATTTAAGAATGGCCCCTGATGATTGGCTCATCTGGTTTGACATTCTTAAGTTTAGTCACGCAATCTGATGTGCCTGCTCTCAAAATTAAGTCAAACTGAAGTGGACACATAAATGCCGAGGCATGCTTCTGCTAGGCGACGTTGGGCGCTGCCAGCGTTTGCAGCGGCTGGAGTTGCTATTAGCGCAGCATTATCCCAACGCGGTGAGGAGGATACTGTAATTGCGGGGGAGATGGAGCCGGAGCTTCCGACATTTTCGATGCAACAGGTGCAACAACATTCTTGGATCGTATACAGACACGGAGTGTACGACGTGAAAGAGTTCGAAAGCAATCACCCGGGAGGGGCCAGCATCCTCCAAGCGACTGGAAAATCGGTCGAGCTTTTTTGGCAGCGGTCGGAACCTCACACGCGCAAAGGGGTGTCCGAGACTCTGAAGGGTCTGAGAATTGGCAATCTGAGTCACGAAGACTTCGACAGGATACAGAACGCGAAAGAGAACAATTCTGCCGCGTTGCGTAAACTATTTTTCATCGAAGAAACGCCGTCGATTTCAGTTCCGAAAGCACCTTCGAGTTGGAGCTCTGCGGTGTCCATAGCGAAGGAGATGTCTCGTTGTCGTTAGCGGATTTGAAGACACGGTTTAAGCAACACAAGCTAACGTCAACGATTCGGTGCGCTACGCCTCGAGCTGCTGGCGCGACCAGTGAGAAGACCGCGACGCTAGCTCCGGCAGAGTGGGCAGGTGTGCTGCTTGCTGACGTGCTGGACAGTGTTGGAGCTGAGCTTATGTCGACAAATGACACCGGGACTGGACAGGTTCGGTTTGAAGCGCTGGACACGGATAAGCAGGGAAGGGCATTCGGTGCATCGATCCCAGTAACCACCGCATTGGATCGAGAAGTCGGTGTGCTGCTCGCGTATGAAATGGACGGTGCTTGCATCCCGAAAGAGCACGGATTCCCGCTTCGAGTGGTCGTTCCCGGGGCGACTGGTGCGCGAAATGTCAAGTTTGTTCATCGTATCGTCCTCATGTGAGGTTAGAACTGTCTGTGAATAACTGGCATTGTTGGATAGGAAGCTTAGCTGCGTGGCCGTGAGTGCGTCAAGCTCATTAATAAGAGGAGCGAAAGACCATAGCTTCAATTAAAGGGCTCAAGTGTCAAGGTGAAGCTCACGTGAAGTGCGCTGTGTCAAGATTAAAGAGTTACAGACTCTTTAGCTCTTAAGTTAAGACTCTTTAAAAAAAAGAGTTAAACTACATGTATGAGCTTGAGCTCAAACAGCCGGCACAGAAGAAGTGCAAGATTATCTCGGAGGTTGTGCACAGTACACAATGTACATGTATCATACGTGATGTATAATACTAGTATGTCATCTTGATGCAAGCGTGCACGCGGAATCCGGTACGCCGTCACTGACGGGTCTGTTGCCTTCGTTGGGCAGACTTGTAAAGACGCCTTACTCTTCGGTCTCCACAATTTGCTTTTTCGTGTTGAGACTCTAATAGCTGCTATGCACGAAGCCGTAAGCCATTGTAAAGTACCTGTCCAGAACTACAACTGGTAATAGTAAAATTCATCTCAATGTGTACGCCAAAAGTGTCTTCGTACTGTACAAATTCAATGAATTGACATGTGAATTTAATTCATGAATGTACCGTAGATGGGTAACAGCACATCTAGATTTGAATTCTCTGACTCGTTGGCGCGTGATTCATGTACTCATAGTAAAGTTGTGAAATTTGTAAAGTATTATAATAAAAACTTTCCATGCTGAGCAAAAGTGACTTTGGAAATAATATAATTTTAAAACAGTTCTCTAATCTAGTATACTCAACGTTTTTTGTCCAAGAAAAGGTTTACGCCCGAATCGGACAAAATATAAATAAAAAAGTGAAAAAGGGCTGCAGCTTAGGTCCCGAGTGTCCATTTTCGTCCTGTTGGACAACGGTAGACATCATGAAAACATACCAAGTACAGAGCTCGTAAATGGCTCGATGGCTATGGAAGGGAGATCTTGTAACTGCTGATATTGCAAGGCGCTATCATTTTGGTCCTAGTTTTTGGCCTTAAAAACTAGCCAAGCTGTTGAGTTAAGAGGGCAGCACGCTGAAGTCCTGAATACTCCCAGTATTGCTTTTGGTGCCAAATTCTGCAAATGCTCAAGCTGTTTATAAACAGTCTGTCTATAAACAGTCCCAGTTGTTTGAGCACTCTTATTGTGTGGAGAATCAGAAGGCTGAACGTTTTTGTATTTGAAGAATACCAAATGCATTACCGCGCACAGATTAGTCAAGAAATTGATCTATCCAAACGCTTTCCTGCTCTATGTTGACTCGAACACTGTGTCTACGTAATTCTTTACGTTGAAACACCACAGTCTATCAAACTGTCAACAGTTTTCATTGTACTGTTGATGCAATAAAATTGAAAACTTTTCATTTCTTTTTGGTTTCAGAATGAGAAAAGTACTATAGTAGAATAGTGCTAATTAGCCTCGTAGTAGTTCGCACTAACCTTTTTGTACTACTACTACTACAGACTGTACTCCAATCCCAAGATTACGTTTACCGGTAGTCCGTGAATTTCCGTGCCTCACGTGTAATGCTGAAGTTCTGTGTGGTCTTGACTCTGATCGTCGGACTCGGACGAGACAAGGAGCGTGCCATTCCCGTTTGTACTTTGAACAGGAGAAGCGCTCGACCAGCAAAAAATGCTAACGATTCGGTCTCTCGCAGCTTCGGCGCTGGCTTGCGCTTTCCTATCTGCCAACCCGTCGCTAGTCGCTGCCGACTACACGGTGAAAGCAGATGCCGCTTCGACTGTGCAGGGCTCGTGGGATGGCTGGGGCACATCGCTTTGCTGGTGGGCTAACGTCTTCGGAGACCGCGCGGACATCGCTGACGCTCTGTTCACCTTGAACGAGACTGTGGCCGTGGACGGTGCTGGAGACATTCCGGGTCTTGGTTTCAACATCGCTCGTTACAACATCGGAGGCTCGAGCAGCAACGTCGTCGACGACAGCGGCACTGAGGTCGCGATGAAGACGTCGGAGAACATGCCTGCGTTCAAGTTTATGGAGAGCTTCTGGCTCGATTGGATGAGCAAGGACGCGGCTTCCACGAGTTGGAACTGGAAGGCTGACGTGCGATGCTCACGCTAGCCAATCAACGAGGAGCGAACCAGCTCGAAGCCTTCTCAAACTCGCCGCCCTGGTGGATGACCAACAACCGCGCAACTGCAGGCGGAGCCGACGGAAAGAAGGACAATCTGCAAGAGTGGAACCACGACGAGTTCGTCTTGTATTTGGCCACTGTAGTGAGTAAGGCTAAGTCGGATTGGGGTATTAAGTTCACGTTCGTTGAGCCCTTTAACGAGCCCTCAGAGACGTGGTGGGAGTTCCCTGGTAAACAGGAAGGATGCCACTTTTCGGTGGACACGCAACAAACCATTTTGCCACTTCTACGTAAGCAACTCGACGCTCTTGAGCTTCAGGATGTGGCTATCGCTACGTCTGACGAGAACTCGGCTACCGAGGCTTTGCATACATTGGACACTATGTCCGGCAACGCCGACGTTATGGGTTCGTTTGAAAAGGTCAACACGCACGGTTACCAGGGTCTTGAAGCCTACCGTGGCCCTGACCGTGGGGGACTAAGGGATCTCACTAAGAAGCTGATGAAGAGTCTGTGGGACTCCGAGTACGGCGAGAAGGACGCCACTGGGCTCACAATGGCCGAGTCTATTGGCCTTGACATCAACGAGATGGGCGTGTCGGGCTTCGTGTACTGGCAGGCGCTAGACAGTGGCGGCTGGGGCCTCATCCAGTCCAACCCGGGCGACAAATGGATCGGCACGCCCAACCCAAAGTACTACGTGATGGCGCAGTACTCGCGTCACATTCGTCCGGGCATGCAGATCCTCGCCTCGGACGACGCCAAGACCGTGCTGGGCTACGACTCGGCGAAGAAGCTGCTGGTCGTCGTGACTGTGAATATGGGCGACGCTCAGACCGTCACATTCGACTTGGCCAGCTTCGCAGCTGTGGCGGGGCCCATCAACGCGTGGACTACCGAGACCAGCGGCAAGGGAGCGCTCCACAAGGCGAGCACCGTGAAAGCCACAGACAAGTCATTCAGCGCTGCCTTCCCTGCCGGGTCGGTCATGACTTTCGAGATCGAGGGAGTCACCCTCGCAGCGTAATGATCATGTAGCAGCATCTTGTCGTTTCATATTGATGCTAGATAATCACATGAAGAACCATGTTCCTACATTTTCATCGTTGAAGTCCAACTGAGCTAATTTTAGCCAATCGCATCGCTGTATATTGATTAGCATCATTGTGCGGCTACCATGGCAAGTACTCGAAGTGTCGGAAGCGCCGTCATCAAGATGCAACTACGCAGCCGGAAGCGCGACTTTGCTTCGTCCACCACAGTGACCAGCACTAGCAGTGCTTCAAGTACGAATACTCCGAAAAGACGAGCTGTAAAGTCGAAAGCGACGTCTATGGGGGCCAAAGCGATCGGACAGAAGGTCGAAGTTGTAGCTCCCACCAGTTCCAAGTTCCCGGTGCTCTCGGCATTCAAAGAGCGAGTGGATCACACCTCGAGCGACTCTAAAGTCTTGTTCAAGTACTCGAATTTAGTTCCGGCACGACTTATCCGTCGGTATAAACGTTTTCTAGCCGATGTCGTACTCCTGGAGGGCGAGGAAGTCGCGGATAGAATTGAGGAAGACCAAGAGGTGGTGACTGTGTACTGCCCGAACACGGGACCGATGATAGGGCTGCTGAACGGACTACCGAACGCCCGCGTGCAGCTATCAAAGAGTGACGACCCCAAGCGCAAATACGCGTACACGCTCGAGATGA